GGGAATTTGATGAAAAGGACCACGTGGAGGTCTCCTTACTACCAGGAGTATCACATGGATTCCTTCAGATGGCCGGATTCTTCCCTGACAGCTGGAAACACATCAACCGATGCGCTGCGTGGATCCAGAACTTGTTTGACACGGCTGACGTCAAGAAATCGTCTTCTAGCCTTTTACAGTCGCTCTACGATAATCCTGTCAATATCAAGAATCTGGCCATAGAAACAAACCGGAAAGCGGGTTCCCAGAATCACAAGCGAAGCTTGACAGGTGAGTCCTCTGCAGACGAGGACAGGCCTCTGGAGATGAGCATCGGCAGAATGACCCCTTTGACACCTGCGCACGGCAATCTCGACTCAAGCGAGACTCGGCAATCCAAGGAGGACACGCCGTCACAGAAGCCCTATCGTTCCCGTCGGGAGGCTAGCAGCACCTCTGATCGCAGAACTGACTCAAAGTATGGAATCCGAAAAAGGAGTTCATCCAGGGGCCGAAAGGACTCATCCAGCGGGCTCGGTAGAAGACGGCGTCTCGCCCCGACCACGCTCACTCTGCCTGTTTCCGACGACATCATTTCCGATAACCTGGAAAGCCCTGTACGTCTTCGCAGACGAGAAAGAAGTCTCCACAGTCTTCCCAGTCACGAGGATCTTTTAGATCGCAGAATGAACGGCTTAGCGGGCGGGCTGATGGGAATCGGGGAGGGAGCGCAGACGCCTTGAGATAACGAGATCGATATTATTGGCGACACGAACACGATACATATTATGCCTTATGTATAGAGCGAGATGAATTTTCATCATTGAGTAAATACCCAGACCTAGAACAGAAATAGAAAGAAATTTTGATTTCGTGAAGCATGTGAAGCTGAAGATCTGATATGGCATGTGATTACGGTGATGTTCTTCATGTGAAAGTGGATCTCATTTCAGCCTAATTGTACAATAGTACAAACATACAATAATAGTACCTTAGCAACGATACCCGATATCATACAGCCAAGCATCCATCCATCGGAATCATCTGATGTTTAGGCAAGATTGCTGTTGCATTCAGCTCGCTCTTATGCATGCTGTCCATACATCCGTCACCCCCGTCAGGCCATATGCCGGTCCAATCGGGCCGACCGTTAAACACACTTAGAACCATCAGCTTACTTCTAGTCTCTATCTGCATCTCTGCAATGTTCTAGCCTTCCAGCCTTGGTGAGACTTACCCACTCCGTACTGCGTGGATAAGGTAGGGCTGAATTGACAATGATCCCATAAGTGATTCGCAATTCCCATCAAGGCAGAGACAAACAAACCCTACATGTGATCGGACAACGTGCTAGAATATTCCTGAATTTCTGCGGTAGCAAGCCATGTCACCTTTTATGTTCTTCGCCTGGCTACATAGCATTGAGAACCAACATGAAGTGCAGAAATTACTGAACCGCAAGAGTGGCGTCAGCCCCAGCGATTGACTAATGAAATACAGAATCAACCAAACCCTGCCACGTTGTCGGCCTCTTCCGGCATTTACTCGTTTACATTATCTTTAATAGATTAATAACTCGGGAGGAGGTATCTGGTGATATCTAAATGTAAATGGGGAAGCGTGCGTTCCCCGTCGGAACAGGTGACATAATCGCCCCGAATAGATAACTATGCCTCGGCAAACCGAGCGGACGGAATCAACTACACATCACTAGCGATGAGTAAAAAAATGAAAAACCAACAGGCCAGAAGCCGTTTGCAATGACGAAATAGGCCCAGACTATCCAGTCATCCACTCGGGATATGTAGACGCCTGATGGGCCCTCCTTATGCCGGGTGGAGACTTTTCCCTGTGCAGATCTTGGCAGGATGGTATCATGCTATATTGGTGTTTGTGCTGGCTTTTTATGAAGAATAGGGCTGGATATGGCATGCTAGAGGATTCTGTGATGAGTGGGTAGGGGGGTTTAAGAAGCTGGCTTGGGGCGCTGAGGTTCTCGTTTGTGTCCTGTGTTCTTGCTTCTAAGAGTTCGTCAACGAAATATACCATATCTAGTATTGACATCGGTTAAGTCTCACAAATCAGTATTCCAAACGTTGTTGAACACCTGGCAAACGAGATGTCGGCTGAGAAGTATGTCGACTTCGATGGCCCGGATGATCCTCTTAATCCCCTCAACTGGCCCATGAAGAAAAGGTACGTCTAGTCCGTCTTTGGTTCTGGATATCGGATTACTGATGCAAGGATGGGACATCAGGGTCTATATCTCGGCCATACTGGGTCTCAGCACAATGGTCGTTGCCTTTGCAAGCAGTATCTTCTCCGCTGCGATGCCATCAGTGATGCACCTATATGGTATCAGCCGGGAGGTATGCACTCTCGGTATATCCCTCTACGTCTTCGGATTCGCATTCGGTCCGTTATTCTTCGGTCCCTTCTCAGAGGTCAAGGGCAGATACATGCCTCTTGTAATCTCAATGTTCGGCTTCACGATATTCTCGTTTGCAACCGCCGTCTCCAAAGACCTTCCTTCCCTGTTCATCCTTCGATACTTCACTGGGTTCTTTGGCTCTGGCCCACTCACACTCGCCGGAGCATCGTTCGCGGATATGTTCTCGCCGGAACAGCGAGGGATTGCTATCGTCATGTTCTGCTTGATGGTGTTCATCGGTCCTCTCGCTGCCCCATTCGTGGGAGGCTTCACGGTCATGAACTCCTCGCTGGGCTGGCGCTGGACGGCATATATTCCGGGTATTCTAGGAGGCGCCGTGCTCCTGCTTCTGGTGGCCTTCCTGGAGGAGACTTACCAGCCCGTCATCCTAGCCCAAAAAGCCGATCGATTGCGCCGTGAAACTGGCAACTGGTCACTTCACGCCAAACACGAGGAGCTGCGTCTTGATCCTAGATCCATACTGACCGAATATCTCGCTCTGCCACTGAAGATGCTCGTTCTCGACCCTATCGTCACGTGCATGTGCGTCTTCGCATCTTTCGTTTACGGTCTGCTGTATCTCTTCTTGACCGCATACCCCATTATCTTCCAGAAGATTCATGGTATGAACCCAGGTGTGGGTGGGTTGCCCTATTTGGGGGTTATTGTCGGTCAGCTCCTAGGCGCCGTTGGCATCGCAGCGACCCAGCCCTGGATTCTGCGCAAGCTGAAGCAAACCGGTGGCGTGATGATGCCAGAGTGGCGTCTTCCTGTCGCTATTCCAGGTGCAGTCGCATTCTCTGCGGGCCTCTTCTGGCTCGGATGGTCGGGATACAAACAAAGCATCCACTGGATTGTGCCGACTCTGTCGGGGCTGCTGACGGGATTTGGATTGTTGACTATGTTTCTTCCCTCGCTTGCTTATCTGGTCGAGGCACGTCCCCAGAAGTGAGTATCCCTGACCTCATCAAGTATGACAACGCATAAACTGACTGAGTATCATCAGAGCTGCATCAGCTGTTGCTGCACACACATTCCTGCGGTCGGTCGCGGGAGGTGTCTTCCCACTATTTGCAACATATATGGTCAGTCACCAAATCCCGAGCTTTCTGATCGTGAACTGACTCAACTTGATACAGTTTGATGGATTAGGCGTGGAATGGGCCTGCACACTGCTTGGATGTGTGGGAGCACTGATGATCCCCATCCCGTTGCTGCTATATATTTATGGAGCACGAATTCGCAGCCAAAGCAGAATGGCTGCTTGATGATTGACCTGGTGAAAATTCCACCAGCAGAATAATTTTAATGATAATAGAACATTAATAATGACCCATACTCACATATATAGAAAGCTAATGTTATAATCTCACTGCCCAATAAGTTTGTTGACTGGACTCCATATATGGACCTCGGACAACTTCGCATCGCAGCACAGTTAGTTCATCCACTGTTTTGCAGCAATTTATAGGTTGCTGAGCTGCGCATGTCTGTAGTGTATAAACTCGATAGCATGGGGGAAACTGCTCTTGTAAAACAACAATGTAACTGTCCACAGCCAATCCCCCTGACTCTAGATAAATGATCGTCCCTGAAGCTCTGATTCCGGAAGAGTGCGCAGACTCTCCACAGGAGAGCAGCTGCACAGCTCTAGTCCTAGCAGTGCGCAACACAAGCATATCTGGATTTCTGTTGATCCAGCGGCCAGTCGATAACAATGCGGGCCAATGCTATCTCGTCATCAGATCGACAATCTAACGTCGACGCCGATTGAAGTTGGCCGTCTCTTTAGACCGTGAGCCATCCACACCAGCAATTGCGTGCTCTCTGCAATCCCCCATCCTCATATTTAGTTCAACATACGCCAATGTCGCACAAGACCATGGATCGCTTTTCGATGTCTGTGTCACTTCGGACTTTCGAGGGCAATTTGGCTGTCTTTCTTGCATCTAATACCGATCTATTTCCCTCACCGCTACAATATTCCATCGAGCTTGACGTCGATCTTTGCGGACAGTCGCGGTCAATGCATCACCGCTGATCTATATTCTTTAAGGAGCTTGCAAATGGCACCTTCAGCTACCGGCCATGCGCCCTATGGGTTAGAATTGCCAGAAGAGACTGTTGTCGACTTTTCTTACGATGAATGGTATTCATGGACGCTACTGGAAGACCACCCACTTCGCGCTCCTCCAGCTCATTGTTGTCCGGGATTGTTCGAATATATACACGACTGCTACGTGACGGCAAGTAAGAACTGGGGAGAGCGCTTGTTTAAAGGGGTTTGTTTGTTGTTGATGGCCACGTTCGTTCCCCGAGAGTATTGTCATAAACTTGGGCTGACCACGTTGTTGGAAACAGAATTGTGATACAATTATCTATACTGCCTCTTGGGCTCATGCATTTGTTACCTCATGCGCAGCTCTCAGAACACGGACGGAGCTTTGGATTTAGTCACAGGCATGCAGAATGCGCGGCATATCATTTGCAAGCCGCCCGAGATGGGATGGGAGACTCTTCTGCAGTCAGGTGCATTGGAGTCAAGGTGGATATTTGGATGCAGAATGGCAGTCTCTGGGCGAACGACTCAATGGCAGCAGCCGGCGCTTCGGAAGTGCTAAGCAGTGCGTACTTCAAATCAATGCTGGAGAAGCTGGACGCCATGAATTCTCATTCAGATTCGCTTGTTCGCTCCGCTGAAGCGAGCCTTTTGCAGTCCTTCGACCAGGAAGCAGAGCGCTCTTCAGTCCTTCTCCTTGAGCTACGATCTCCTGTTGAAGTAGTGTGGCCGGATCTAACGTCACTGTTGGAAAAGTTGAGGACAGGGAGGTGCCTATCATACATGAACGGGACGCGGCTAGTTGGGAGACCTGTCACCGTCGTGGTTTCAAGCGAAAATTTATCTTACCTGGATCGAACCAACCTGGCCGAGTCAGACGTCATCTTCTTTGACACCTCACTGGAATCGTTGACTAGAGCGCATCCAACAGAAGGTGGTGACGAAACCGATGGCGACAACCAAGCCGCAGCTCATGGTACAAAAGTCTTTCTGGCAAGGAACTCGACAACAAGGACTGTCATGGCAACTGCCGATTTCCAAGCATCTGTCGGCCTCCCCCGTCGGGGCCGATTCTCCAAAGAGCAGATTCAGTTGGTTCGGGCGCAAGTGCGTGCTGCTCACCAGCATGGACTGCTGGCCCGGTATACCGGCATCAAGTGCCATCCGCGACGATTACGCAGGTTGATCTTGCGAGTACTAGCCCAGGAAGGGGTCGATTTAATTGAGAATGACCAGAATGATTGTGAGCGACCGTGGTAGAACTCGTCCTTGGAGGATGGTGAAGACAGCAGAAGAGTACCTGGATACTAGATTAAAGTCTCCCATGTAGGAGTGATTGTCTGCACAGTCCAAAAGCATATTGCCATGCAGAAACTCAATTCGCCCACAGTGAAGAATGGTGCCTTAGGAACATGACGCAGATGAGTATATAACTCCTTGCTTCTTGCGAATGTATAACGCAAAAGGGTCGGTGTAACACCAACCTCTCAAAAGGAAATGTGTGCAGGCTTCTGTTCTAAGTTGATTAGTAGCTATATATTTCCCCTTCGGCAATTATGCAAGGGCCTTTGATCGGAATTTACAGTTCTGTCTACACAGCTCTGTCTACGAAACCATATCAGACAGCGCAGGATCTTCCACTGGATGCTAAAGCAAGCAACCCTGTACCGACAGTTCGAAGCTGCGATACAGGAACCTTACTTGATAACTCGACGTATCGCCGAGAAGAAGATGTCGATAAGTAGGCATGCATGCATGTGCGGTGTATATGTATAGCATCCTTGACGCAGATGATGATCCTAGGTACAGTACAGTATTGTATTCCTTTAACTTAGGGAACAAAGGGATAGAGCTTTTAGAGTCTGGAGGACTCGAGTAGCTGCTCTTTTTTTCGTCTTTTCTTTCTCCAACGACTCAATCAGAAGACAAGACAGCAGAAATGATTTCAGCTAGAACTGGACCTTAACGTAAAGGTGAGTAGTTATGTGGTGTATACAAACTGTCAACATGACACGTCGATGGGCTGCTGCTGCATGCCATGCCAAGTATGTTGGAGTCTGCGCCCAACGAGGAAAACATTGTACAGTATTCAACTGCACCTATCTTGATGAGGCGAAAACTTATGTCAGTGTGGCCATAGGAATGGCATCTCGGGATTTTGGGCTGTAGAAGATTGATCTGGTAGACCACAGCGTAGTATAGTCACCACCGGATACTACAGGATGTTTACCTCTGTATATTATTGTATGATATGGAGAAGACGTTCATCTTCATTTACTATGTAAGTACGGAGCAGTACTCCACTTTTCCCCGCTGCCAGGACGGCCCCATCTTATTGATTCAGATTCGTCCGCTTTTCAACTAGTAGACTTTTACATTTTAGTATTTATCATGCAGATTCAAATAATCCATTATCCAGACTAGCAGTTCCGCATCCCCTGTGATTGGCTCTTGCTCCATGTCTCTGGCTCCATCTTCCCTGTAATCCTTGGGTCCTGTCGCATGCCTGTTGTTTTTCTTTTTCCCTTCCTCTAGTTTATCGCTCACCGTTTTCTGGGGCTTTTTCTTCTTCTACCACCACTACAACTTCAACAACATCAATATCAGCAGTCAATCTGCCTACATACCTGCCTCTGCTTACATTCTTATAGGCCATGATCTTTTGATATCTCGAATATCCCAATCGCATATTCCCCCTTAACACACAGCTCTGTTAGATTCTGTCGACTTCTCTGAGGAGACAACAGCTCCTATCTGGCTTGCATCGGCTTCCACCGCCATTTCTCAGTTTTTACCATCAACTACCTAGGGATTCGTCTACAAGAGATCTTGTTTTGAATGCACCAAACCCTCATCCTGCTGTTCCTCAGATAAATTGACCCGAGATCATCCTCTCTCGCCCATGATGATGGATCTTCAGAAGCGCCCTCCTCAATATCCGTCGCCCTTTGGCGCCTCACACGACCCTCGTGCCGCTTCGCAGCCGCCTCCAGCCTACAGCGTGCCTCCGCCTCAACAGGTCTACTACGATTCGCTGAAGCAGCACGGAATACCATCAAGCCAACCTGCGAACGCAATGGCCTACCCCTACTCCACATCTACGTCTTCTGCTCCGCCGACTCCTGCCTCATCAACTCCATATAACATGTCGGCTGCGCTACGCGTAGACAATCACAGCTATCAAGTGCCGCAGATGGACTATGAACCACCCAAAAGACATGATGATGGGCAGAAGGATCACAATAAGCGTCACCGTCGAAGCCACAGCCGCAACAATAGTCATGATCAGCTAATTTATCGCGAAGGTAGGCAATACTATTTTCCTCTGCTTCTGACTCTGCTATTTACCTTTTTTTTTCCCCCTTCTTCTGTTTTTCGTTTTACTTCTTATAGTTTCGTGATTCCTCCCAGTTTATTCCCAAGCCGTTCTGCAGTGGAGGACCGCTGGACGCCATGCGCAGGCCATTCAAGGCTTGAACGTCGCGTCCCGTAAAATGTCCAGGTTGAACCTGAGGCATAATGGCCTCTAGCCAGCGTTGAATGGCTGGCGATTATACTAGCTCCTGATGTTATGGACGACGATCGTACCAGGCTACCTGCCAGTACGGTGTGACCTTGTACCTACCTGTCAGGCAGTACTACACCGTCAGCCAATCAGAAGTCCTGCATCCGTCGCGTCTGTGGCGCGGCTGGCGCCTGATCGACTACTGCTCGGCACGGGAGCGCTAGTCCTGGTGTGGAATAGCCTCCTTGTTCAGGACCCCCTTGCCTGACCTGGATTAGCGCTAGTCGAGCTACGCCCAGGCCCAGAGTCACGGGTTCATCCGCCCCAGTGCCTTTTGTGATTATGGAACTTCCATCATTGTCCCATCGGCTATCCTATTCCCAGTCCCCAATTCTCCCTTTCCTCTTAACCCCCTAGATTGGGCGTCATCATATTCCCGAGTTGAGCTCAGTTTCTATTCATTACGTGCATCTTCTTTTATTTTCGTTGTCTACCTTTTCCTCTGCGTGCGACATGAATCCTCCCCGGTCGCACGATCAGGGTCGTCGGAGGTCTTTGGGCAGCAGCAGCAGTCCCGTGTTTTCTGGTGCGTCCGCCGTTGAGGCTCTCGTGCAAGACAGCCTGCGATGGATCAAGTTTCATCATTGCTTTTTATTATTTTTTATATGCATATTTTTTCAGTCTTTCCTCATCGCACCATCTGTTTATCCCTTATGATTTTACGCGCTTTGCTGACCCAGACTGATCGCGCCTGAACAGGTCCGCAAGACCAGTCCTCCGCGTCTAGTGCCTTAGGAACCCGCCGAATGCCACCCCCTTCTCCACCACAGCACTATGCATCACGGGGCCAGTCGGGAAATTCATCGCTGCCTGCTCCTTTCATGTCTCGTGAGCCTCCCAACAACCTGGCTCATCATCGTCCTGGGAGCAGCATGTCGATATCTTCCATGCTAGGCTCGGACGCTGACCGACCAGCCCGGGATGTAGGCTCGGCTTCAATCTACTCTCGTGCTCCTGTATCCTCCGGCCCATATGGCAGCGCACCTCCACCGTCCGCCCCAAGCGCAATGTCACCACCCACTGCCCCGGCCAGGCCCTCAACGCTCGATTACCCAATGTTCCGTCGGTCAAAGACCCCCGAAAAATCTTTCTCGAAGAACCAGCCCGGCCGTCCTTACAGAGCAGGCGCTGGTAGTGTATCGCAAGGTCCACCAGGCCCCGAACAAGCCAGATTTGCAGGCCTATCGCGCGGCCAACCTCCGACACAGTTTCCAGACAAGCCTAGCTCTTCCCACACGTCGCCTCAATTGCAGTCTGCATCCACAGAGCCGTCCTACCATGAATCGCGCCGCTTGAGCTTCAACGGACCCGTCCCTCGTCCCAACAGCCAGCCGCAACATCTCGAGCGGTCGACGCGATCGGCGGGTTATAGTCCACTGTCGCGACCAGCGCCTGCGCCGGGAGCTGGAGACCATTCCCTAGGTTCTGGACATCAGCGCGCAACATCGTACGTGGGTCCCGAATCGCAGCATAGCCGCTTTGGGAACTTGTATGGTGATCGTCTCGCGGAGGAGCAAGCGCATCGCGACAGGGAGCGGGCGGCGGCTCATGAAGCTGAGTCGAAAGCTTCTCATGCTCAGTCTCGATATGGTCCTCATTACGGCGATCGCGATGCCGCGGCAACTCGCCATTCTGGTGCATCTGCCTGGGACCTCAGTCGCTCCCAACCACCCTCTCCGGAAACCAAGCGCTTCCCAGCTCCAGAGCAAGGCTCCGCATTCGGCTTCGGCGCCATTCAGAGCTATACCAAGTCTCTCGGGTTACAGCCAGGGGGTTCGCGGCAGCCGTCTTTGTCCATGCAACCCCGTCAGAACCAGCCGGCCCCATCGAATGAACAGCAATCCTACCTGAACAAGCTTCAGACTGAACCACGACTGTTCGGCTCGGCACCGTCAGGAGGACCGTCGTCTCTGGCCCACTCTGCCTCTTCCGACGATCAACGCCGAAAGGGGAGTGACGAGCTGCTACATCATCGAAATCTGCTCGGTGTCGGCCTTGACGCTAAACGCGGAGGACGTGCGTCGCCTTTACCTCAAGCTGTCCAAGGAGCGCAGGCTCAGATCCTTGGCCCGGCCGGCGAAGCTGGCATCAAGAGTGAATTAGGCCGCGTTTTCTCCGGTATTGGAAGTGGTGTTGGTGGCGTCACAGCCGCCACTGCAGGTAGTGGGCCCTCCACACCGATGACCGTCAGTCCCTTCAAGCGCGATAGCATTGCCGGGCGTTCAACCAACAGCGAGGCGACACTGGATGATTCTAAGACCAATCGACCTGCATCCACTACGGGCAAGCGTTCTCGAAAATCACGAGATGAGGACAGCAAGGCGGATAGTGAGCCTGGTACCGATCGACTCGGTGCGTCTGCAATCAGCAGGCGCGGTCGTCATGTTCATCACCACCATCATCAGTAAGTGATATTCCCTTCTAGTCTCAAGGTTATTTATCTACTTGTTCATCTAATCTAACTTTCCCAAGCCATCATCACCACCGCCTCAAGCCTGAAGAAGATAATGCTGTAGCTTCGAGCGCATCCCATCGGCCTGTGTCCTCGATGAATTTCTTCCACCGCACGTCCACACCAGCGGAAGCCACACCGTCCGGAATGCCGATGGGGCATCATCATCACCACCACCATCACCATCACCACCATGCCTCACGTCCAGCAACTTCCACGGCGAACTCCGCAGCTATGTCACCG